GCCACCCAATATAGTGTTTTTCAACCTTTTTTTAATCTCATGGCACACTTATACCTATAGTTAAACTTCCTCGACACACTTAAATTATGTTGATCAAAAAAAAAAGTAAGAAAAATATACTTACTGTGCTTTGGACTTCTTTCAAAAATAATTTAATTAAAACCAGCACACTGTACCCCATGATTGCATTAATGTACACAGCTATGATTTAATAAAAAATAAAAACCCAAAAAACCCCCAAAATAATTTAATTAATGACCTTTAAAATTTTTCATGGCACATTGTTTGAAAATTATTGACATAATAAAAGAAAATGCTAAATTCAGTTAGAGGTTAGTGATAACAAGGATTTTTTTTTTTTTTAAGAGACAGAGTCTTACTTTGTCATCCTTGGTAGAGTGCTGTGGCATCACAGCTTACAGCAACCTCCAGCTCTTGGGCTTAGGCGATTCTCTTGCCTCAGCCTCCCAAGTAGCCCACCACAACACCCGGCTGTTTTCTTGTTGCAGTTTGGCTGGGGCTGGGTTTGAACCCACCACCCTCAGTATATGGGGCCAGCGCCCTGCTCACTGAGCCACACCACAGGTACCGCCTACAAGGATGTATTTTTTCCCATCTAAGTACATGGACCCTCTGCACTCTTACCTGTGGACTCCTTGGGCTCTGTGGACCTATATTAAAATCCTCTAGTTTCTCTGGTCTAGCTCCTACTTTAATGCCTTTTCCTTCATTATGTTCTCCTGCAGACACTTATTCCTGACCTATTATGTGCCCGGCAGTTTCCCATCCTGTATGTCATGTAGTCCTAAAACTTCCTCTGAGGTAGGTGTCAGTCTTCCCACTTTGCAGATGAAGTAACTGAGACTCGGGGGTTAAATAATTTATCCAAAGCCACACAGCCAGTAAGTAGTCAGAGTGTTATACCTCCTTCTTCCCTAGCTGAGGTTTTGGGGCCAGAATCCCCAATACCAGAAGGGAAAGAAGCTATAGAAGGGGAGGGTGGGCAGGGAGAACACATTGGGAACTAAAAACTATGCTCCATGCTTTCCATTATCTCCTCTAACCCTTACAGTACCTTGTGTAGTATTACTCTCTCCATTAAGAAAAATTATAAACAACAAATGCATATTCATTATAAAACAATAAATTAGGCTCGGTAGAATGGCTCATACCTGTAGCACTCTGGGAGGTCAAAGTGGGAGGATCGCTTGAGCTCAAGAGTTCGAGACCAGCCTGAGCAAGAACAAGACCCCATCTCTACAAAAAGTAGAAAAATTAGCAGGGTGTGGTGGTGGGTCCCTGTAGTCCCAGGTACTCACCTCAGTTTGAGGTTGCTGTGAGCTATGATGTCACTGCAGTCTACATTCGCCAGGGTAACAAGAGACTCCAAGATACAAAAACGGAGACAAAAATAAACACAGATAATCTACTAAAAGAAAAAGCAAAAAATCAGTTGAGTTCTGATGTGATGGCTCACACCTATAATCCTAGCACTTTGAGAGACCAACACTGATCACTAGACACCAGGGAGTGGTGTCACCAGCCCACTTTGAGCCCAGCCCACTTTGAGCCCAGGCTGGACAACATAGTGAGAGCCTGTCTCTACTGAACAATTAGCAAGGTGTGGTGGTCCATGCCTGTAGTCTTAGCTGCTTAGGAGGCTAAGGTGGGAGGATTGCCTGAGCCCAGAGTAAGAACCCATCTGTGGAAAGATAAATAAATAGGCTCGGCGCCTATAGCTCAACCAGCTAAGGCACCAGCCACGTACACCTAAGGTGGCGGGTTCGAATCCCCAGCCTGGACCCACCA